CCCTAATTTTGGGAAACCTCCCTATTTCTTTAAAAGCCGAATTCTACTTTCAGCGCCCCAGGAAGCCTTGCTTCTCAGCCGTAAACTTGTGGATTCCTTGCCAAGGTAAAAAGGACTATACTCCCCTGTATAATCCCCTTTNNTAAACCCTAAACCCTAAGCTTGTAGTTTCCATTTTCTTTTCCATATATATATATACACACATAATACCCTATATCACCCCCCTTTAAGGAGATTTGCTCATATAGATGTACTTACATGTTGCCCAAGGTTGCTTCCGAGGTCCCCGCTATGGTTTCCGAAGCTCCGTCGTCCTGCCATGGCCTCACGAGAACGTGTAAAGTAGGCCTTAGGGTTTGTAGGGTTTCGGATTTAGGGTTCAGGTTTAGGATTTAGGATTAAGGTTTAGGATCTAGGGTGTCGGATTTAGGGTTTAGGGTTTAGGGCACAGGCTTTAATGCCTAAATTGTAGCTTCCATGTTCTTGGCAATTATCCCTATGTAAGCCTCAGAAACCCCTATATAATCCTATATAACCCCAGAAGACCCCAGACCTAGGGAGCCAGAGATTAGGGTTGTAGAGTCAAAAGAATCTCGGGTTCAGATACTCGAGTTCTGGGAGTTTAGGTTGTAGAGTCCAGGGATGTAGGGTTTCGGGATGACAGTTTAGGGGTTTAAGTCTTGGAATCGGTGTTTACGGTTTAGGGTTCAGGAGCAATTCATACTCTTCCCTCTTCATCTTTTTCGGGTAAAATAGTGGAATGGATTTCAGAGGTTGTAGGAGAGCAGTCAGGTTCAGTGAGCTGTAGGGATCCATTCCCCAATTCAATAAAGCGTTGATCAGAAGCAGCAGCAGCAACACTGGGATGGACTGAGGGGCCCTACAGAAATCCAAGTCTTATGGGTCTTGTAGGATTTTACAGGGATTATGGTCCATCATAGTTGAGAATTATTCCCAGGAATACCTCAGTACTTCGGCACAACAAAGGGAAGCGCGATGCAGCAGGAATGTAGCATCCAGGAACATGTAGGGAATAGGAATTGTAGGCCTTCCCTTTGAGTATTAGATAGGGCTTCTTCAGACCTGCGAAAGAAAGGAAACTCCAAGACCCAACCTCTGGAATGTAAACCCCTTTGTAAAACCAGTTTCCGTTTGATTTTCAGTTCTCATCTCTATTTGATTCTCCATTTTTTGGGGTAATATCCATACCCAGGAAACCCCAAAGCATGAATAGTAGTTTCTGTTTTCTTTTCGAGTATTACTGTCCACCGAGCGCCGGGCAACGCATCCCAGTCGCGGCTCCGCAACTGGATGTGGGTAGGACTGCAGACCTACCCTTCAAGCTTCAGCTTGCCAATGGCCAATGAACAGCAAAGTGGCAGTCTCAAGGCACGGCTGAACCTATACAGGTTGTAATAGGGATTATATAGGGCTGTATAGGGCTCCTATTCAGGATAACAGAGGGTTGTATACGGTTACAACAGGGTTAAGTAGGGTTACATGGATATTTATGAGGATGTCTAGGGGTTATATAGAACTGCTAAGGCTTTGTCGAGACGATGCATAGGTGTGCATAGGGGTATGCAGGGATTCATCACCGCCAAAATCCAGAATCACATGGTATAGAAAATTGACAATTAATTTGAAGCTGCTATTTAGGGTTTAGGATGTGGGGATATGTTGCCCCAATAACGGTGAATTAGCTGGACAGGAATATGGAAAATGACACGGCAAGTGGGATGATATAGCTTTTTAAAGGTTAGGGGCTGGGGTAAGCATATTACGAAAGACTAGTGTTCTCTACAGTAGTAACTACAGTGGATACAGGTTCTAAGCTGCAGGTTGGGCGATCCTTTCTTGGAGTGAGGTGAATAAGGAGTGAAACGAACGGCCCCTGCTGTCACTGGGACGGGCTGTTACAAGAAATGTCCTGACAACTGGGTTTTGCCAGCACCAGCTATGACCATCTTTTCATAAACCTTAAACCCTGCTAGTTTCAATTTTATTTCTCGTTATTACTATATGACCCTGATGTAACCCCTATATAACCATACGAGAATCTATGCAACCATCCTGTGACGACTTTTTTTCTGTGCAGCTGACCGCACAGGTCAGGAATTCAAGTCAACACCGCAAGCGTGAACTCGTGAGTGGGGCCACAGCTTCACCATGGCTATGCTACACCTCTTGAATCCTTGAAGTCCCTCATGGATGATTGATTTCTTGAAATGAGGCTCCCGTTTGTGGGATCCTAAGACCTTTCTATCAACATGAAGGAACCTACTGTATGATTTAGTGAGACCGCCTCATGGGGGAACAGGGCAGTTGGCAATGCTTTGCACACATTTTCTGGAATTTACTTCTACACGGTGCAGGGCCAGGGCCTCTGTCCTGATACATTGCGGAGGTATGCGCGGAGCCACTGGATGAAACCGGATGCTGCAGGGATGATGACTTGCTCTTTTGTGCTATGAGGCTCAACATCCCCAGCTTTGCCCGAGACATTAACCGCCTACTTTTGAGATCGCCAGGTCCTCTTTGAGACTTTGCATGTTTCTGAGGGCAGAGGACTCTTACAGGCTCAGAGTATGCGCAAGAAGTCGCAAGAAGGACATGACAGGCGCGAAGCCTGGCCGACTTTGCCGGCTGATAAAAAATTTGTTCCAAGCTCTACCTGGACGGCTTTCGCTGGTCATGGATCTGAAATGGGCGGCCGCAGGATATCTGTCTACACATAGATTCCGACGCCCCTAAACCCTAAATCCCAAACCCTAATCAGCATCGTGTGCTACATTGTGCTACGGCTTGCGCGTGCTCATCTAGGCCACGCTCCGGTCCGGATGGCAGCGCTTCGTGAGGTCGCCCGAGATGACTGGGAAGCAGGCCTCGGTACAGTCTTGGAATGCAGCAGGCTCCGAAATCGAGAATCACTTGGAGAAGAACATGGAAGATTAAATCGACCGTGGGGTATATAGGCTAGGGGTTTATAAGTGTAATTACGAATATTGTGGTGGGAAGGCACCAGATTCTGAGCTCGATGCACGGATTCGCTCTGTGCAGGCTGGACCTGGTGTCAGTGGCCAGTGTGCAAACAGCATGCTGAAACGCTGAGAGGCTCGTTACTGCTTCCTTCCTAAACCCTCAACCCTGAACCCTAAACGCTACTAAACCTTGAACCTTAAACCCTGAACCCTAAACCTCAGAGGATGCAGGCCTTCAGTGGAATCCTTTGGCCATCTCGTGCAGCGGTTCGCGTAGGCGGTGGAGTAGCGCCTGCGGGCCAAGCCACCGAAGTTTCTTGTTGGTGGCAGTTATAAAAGGGTTTTACAGGAGCTATGTGGGGACTATATACTCATAATGGGTTGTAATAGGGTTACATAGGTGTTATACAGGCGACTATGGACTAATCATGCAAAAGAACATGGAAACTAGCATTTTTCCTGAACCCTAAACCCTAAAAGCATTTAGGGTTTAGGGTTTATGTACCGTATCCCCGGTCCCAGGTGGGCTTGAGACATGACAGCATTGTTATCTGGAACAGGAGTCAAGTCGGATAAGTCTCCTGCTGGGTGGGGAGGGGTTAGGGACTCTCTTGGAGTCAGAAACACTCAACCCTAAACCCTAAACCATCTTTAAATTAATAAATAAACATATATATATATGTA